TCACAAAACTGACTACTGCTACTGCCCTGATTAATAAAGTTCTTTGTCTCTGACCTAGGAGTCTTGTGTCTTTCTCCAACATCCATGAAACTGGTAGGATAACTTGTTAGCTTATAAGAAGGATAAAGTCTTAGATTTTTCACAGTAATATGTAAGCCACTCTTTTTAGAACTGAAAACGAGCCCTTCTACAAGTAACTCTTGGTAAATCTTCATCTAAATTAAACCCAAATCTGGAAAGTTACCTGGGTGAGGCTAGAATTCAGGTCCCTTATGACTATATACTATGTTCTCTTTCCCCCCTCTATTTTTTCCCCCACAAACCAAATTTATTCAAGTTAAAGGACTGTTATTCTGAGATTGCCCTTCTATCAAATGATGATGTTAACAGTGATCTCTTTCTTTTCCAAAAATAAAAGCATTGCTATTTTATGTGGATGAGCAACACTGACTAGCGCGTTTATTTGTTTATTTAAAGCTGAAGTTTTTAATGTATCTTGCCTTCAAAAGAGAAATGGGGTATTTGGGAGGGCTTTAAAAAAGTTGGTATAGCATGATACTTTTAATGATAAATAATTGAATAAATAATAAAACAACATGTTTGATAGTGATAAATGTTAAGGAAAAGAGGAGGACAGGACGGTATTGAAATTTTAGGTAATGTTGGTAGGGAAGGCCTCACTGATGTTACTTTTGAGTAAAGAACTGAACTAAGTAGGGAGACTTGCCACTCACCTATCTGGAGGAAAAGCATTCTGGGCAGAGGAAACAGCAAGTACAAAGGCTCTGTAGCAAAGTGTGCCTGGTGCAAGACTTTGAGGAGCCAGTTTGTAATGCTTTGAAGACATAGGTTGAGAGGATTATAGTGTTGCCCTTTGTCTTAGTTGTCTTTCTGTGCTTCAGTTGGAGCACTTGCTTTTATACTTATACTAGGGGTCCCTCAGCCTGGCTTGTGCCCTCTTGCAATCCGACATCCCTCGGGGATGTCAGACTGCCGGTTTCGGCCTGATCTCCGTAGGCCAGGCCAAGGGACCTCACCAGTGCACGAATCCGTGCACCAGGCCTGTTTCGACGTGATCCCTGCAGGCTAGGCTGAGGGACCCCATCTGTGCAGGACTTCATGCACCAGGCCTCTAGTATGCATACAAGATATTTGGTTAATCTCTTCCTGCCCTCCCCCCATCCTTCTTCTGAGATTCATCAGTCTGTTCCATGTTTCCATGCCTGTGCGTTAAGTGTCTACCCCCTGGTGGTCAGTGCATGTCATAGCTACCGGTCAAATGATCAGATGGTCGCTTAGGCTTTTATATGTATAGATATTAGTTACTTCTTCACTTGTGGAATAGGGTTTCTTTAAGATTTTGAAAACTACTGAATTACATAACTTTTTTGCAGTATTCTCTAGTTTTCATTGACAGTCTTTGTAAGTGCCCATCTTTCAACATTTAATGTAAGTCCCACATCAGCATTTTTTCTTTTTAATTCAGCAGGTATTTGAAAATGGATTTAGACCTTATTTTATATGATTTATTTTTTAACTCCCACATGGATTCTATTCTATTTTTGTGAAGAAAAGAAGCTGAGGTAACCTGGAATAGTTAGAAAATAATCTAAGATAGCATACCAACTAAAACCTCTCTAGCCAAGGTCACTAATACCCTTTGTTACTAAATATAGAAGCTAGTTTCCATTCTTTTTTACCTTGAGAAATTAACACCAAACCATTTCTCCCTTGAAATACCATCCTATCCCTCTGGTTGTACCATTTCTGTCTTAAGGATTCTTCTTTCCTTGGGTTTATGCCTTGACTACCTATGCTTCTCATTCTCCTTAATCTCTTTTGAAATTCTCATCTACTTTATGATTTCAGTTACTACCTATATGTTGTTGATTCTCATATTAGAATTTCTAATCTACATCTCAATTTTGAGCTTTGAGCAGTTGTAATAAGTTGGCTTCTGACTCATCCATTTTGATGACCAATGGGTAAAGAAGATTCAGATATTTAAAATAACTTTATATCTTTTCACCACAAAGAAAAAAGAACTTATTCTTCCTGTCTTTGTTTTGGTAAATAGGATGTTTGTCCAGTTGATTAAGCTAGGATTTTTATATTGATGCCCACTAGTCAAACACCATCAGTAACACACCCCATAGGTAAACAAAGTTGGGTAAATTGATGCTTTCTGCAACATGGGAAGTCACATGCCATGAGGAACTATGGAGTGTCACAGTAAGAACGTGCTGGATGGAGAATTGGGGCTTTTGTTAGGTAATTTTGGGGAGGATTCAAGGAAGTGGTTTGGGTTTGCTCTGGATTGGGTATTGTCAAGTAGTGGGAATAGTTCTATAATTGGGTATCTTTTTTTAAAAAAAGATATGTTTTAATTGATTTCAGAGAGAGGAAGGAAGAGGGAGAAAGATAGAAACATCAGTGATGAGAATCATTGACCAGCTGCTTCCTGCACGACCCCTACTGGGGATCGAGCCCAAAACCCGGGCATGTGTCCTGACTGGGAATGGAACTGTGACCACCTGTTTTCATAGATTGGCACTCAACCACTGAGCTACACTGGCCGGGCTATGATTGAGTATCTTAATAAGTCTTATCTAGAAGGTGAGAAGAACAGGGTCAGGTTAAAACTGTAACTGGTAAAGAAGCAGTAGTCCCAGTTAGCTGATATTTTTGTGTGTGTTTGTATGGTTGGACAGAGACCTTGCTTTTGTCTGTACTCTTACTCAAACAGACTTGGCTTTGCATCATGGTCATAGTGGACCTTCCTTATCTGATATTGGTGATCTGTGAGATTCTGTTTGATAGAAATACATCAGAGCCTAACTGTGCTAGGCCATCTCCTAGCTGTGAGAGGTTGCTTTTCTCTCTCACTTATTTGGGATAGGTGTAAAAGATTAGGTACCATTTGGCCAGCAGCAAGATGGATGAAGAATGTTTTGGACAGGATATATGAACAAAGAATTTATATGGTATTGAGTGCTTATATGTGAGAAGCAGTAAAAAAGCTTATTCTACTTGAAATATATCAGTAAGCTCCAGTGGTGTGTTGAGACAGAGATGCCTAGTTTGTTTATTCCTTACCAGGGAAGGATGGGTTAAAGGGTAGGGATATGTATCAATCACATATGGAACTTTGTAAAGCTAAATGTTTTCATACTTACAATGTGCCAGGCACTAAGTACTTGTATGGTCTCTTGATCCATACTCCGGTAAATTGGGATAGAAATGAAGGATGCATATCTCTGATGTTGGGAATAAGAGCCAAACTGGAGATCCAATTGAGGCTAGTCATATAGACTGTAATGTTTAAGAGTGTGAGTTTCAGCAAAATAGTTTGGGTTTGAATCCTGGCCCCCTCCTCACAATTATTAGTTATATAACCTCGAGCAAGCTACTTAACCCCTCAGAATCACTTTATTTTACAAATTTAAATGTGCAATAATTATACCAGCCTCAGAGGGTTGGCAATACTTGGTAAGCACTCAGTATTCAACAGTTGCTGTTATGTACTTTACTTTCTTTTTTTTTTTTTGGAGTGAAAAAAGTCAAAAGTTTATTCTACTTAGTATAAGAATTTTTCATTAAATATATAGTAATTCATTTATCAGAAAATGATACCAGGAACTATGAGAAGTAGTTGCATTACACAATGACTATGACTAGAAAATCTCAAATGCAACTAAGCAGCTATGCTATATATATGGTATATAGCTCTTGTTCTGGGCTAATGTACATTTCAGTTTAATATAGAATTGCTTTATGGGTGTTAGAAAGGCAGCAATAGTTATATTTTGGCTTTTCTTCTAGATACTTAAGTTAAGGCAGCAGTTCAAGCATATTAAGTGAAGGTAGTTAAAATTTAATGATAATTAATATAACTTGCATACACTGTTTACTGCTTTCTTAAATACTTTTCTTTTACTGGCTATGTGACTTTGGACAAATCACAAAACTCCTCAGAGCCTCAGTTCTGACATAACTTTGCAGGATTGATATAAGAATTAAAAAGTATACATGGAAGCATTTTAGAAACAGAAAGTACTCTAAAATATAATAAATATTAATGTCGAGTATGTTGTCTTTCAAGTATTTGAATTTACTTGACAGGTAAAGGACTATGGTTGGGTTGTGATGTTTTGTGCCAGATTATACAGGATCTTGAATGTTAGGATGAGAAATTTAGATTTCATGCTGTGGGCTTTAGAAATTCAGCTGCTAGACAGACTTTAGATCAGGGCAATGAGATTGCAAAAATGGTGGCATAGAAAACGTGGAAATGGAGGAGAACCTAGAGGTCCATCGACCAGATTTAGGAAACTGTTTCAAGCTAAATAATGGTGGTTTTGATTAGTGAAACTACAGTAGAAGTGAAAAATCTTAAGATATTTCTAGGGAATTAGTGCAATTTAGGTACAAGTTGAATGTGAGGGATATAGAAATAAGAACAATAAAGGGTTCTTGAACTTTAATTTTGGAAATGATTGGTTAAATTTGTTTAGGTATAAATGGTTAACAAGTTTGAAGAAATAGCCGTGTGACAGTGTACAAGATGACTAGAGACTTGGTTTCAGGTATTTATTTGGCTTTCTCCATAATGTAGGCCCAAATATGTAATGTGTGAAAAGAAGGCTTTTGGGAAAAGGTACAGGTTTCACTGGTAAACTAAAAAATTTGGTTTTAAGTTAAAATAAGTATAAGTTTGTTAGAAATATTATTAAAATCTGTTTGCTATGCTGCAATCGGGGGTTAGAAATTAATTTGAAATGCATCAAAATGAGAGATGAATAGAATCTTTATGGTGAGCACGTGGATATTCATTTTAAAACGCTTTCAACTTTTCTGTATGTTTAAAAGTTTTTTGTTTTTGTTTTTTATTTAAAAGTTTTAATAATAACACATTAGAGAAGTGGAGATATAAACAGTTTGCTAAAGGCTAGTCTTGAGAATTTCTCTTCCCTGACCTGAGACTTTTGTTTTCTCTGTAGGAACTTTCCGCTGCACTTTTTGCAATACAGAGGTAGAAGAAGATGAATCAGCAATGCCCAAAAAAGATGCACGCACACTTTTGGCAAGGTTTAATGAACAAATTGAGCCCATTTATGCTTTGCTTCGGGAAACAGAGGATGTGAACTTGGCCTATGAAATACTTGAGCCAGAACCCACAGAAATACCAGCCCTGAAACAGAGGTGAGTATAGTCCCTGTGCTCTTACCAATAACACTTTAAGCTTGCTCTTGTTTTAACTACCTGTACTTTGAAGAGAAAGAGTGGGTAACTAATTTACTAGGAGACTAAAGACTAGTGTTTCATAGATTCCAAGCTCTGTCGCACTTGTCTTATTAACTTGTGCCTGTGATGAAGTTTGTTTGTAGTGAATACAGAAAAGTGTGGGCCTTAGGCAAAAATCTTTAAATAGTCAAGTTTGACTTCAACTACTCACTCTGCTTATTAGGCCTGCTGCAACTCAGGCAATTGTCAGCTAATCCTAAATTGGTAGTGCCTCTTGGGGATATTTGAATTTTCCTAGCCAAGTTCTGAAGGCTGAAGTTCTTTAAGGAATACAGCATTCACTTTTTTGTTTTTGAAGCACATTAACCACACCTTTCTTGACTGCCTCAGTTTTCAGTGCAACTTCCTTGAAAGTGAAGTAAAATATGTGTTTCCTGTGAGTTAGTACTTCTTACTATGGCTTCCTATTCTTTTGAGTGTCCTAATTGAATTGCAGATTCAGCCTTAGTTTTGCCATTCCATAAAGTGGCTTATATTCTTTGAAAAGCATACTAGTAAAAGGGAATTGGGGTCAGCGAGTGTTCTCCTACGATACCTCTTTTCTTTTTCCTCCTAGTGTTAAACTAAGAGGAAAAAGCTAAGAGCTTAGCGTTTACTGTATACTCTTTCATAGGACACATTAGTCCAAATTGTAACTACAGTTTTTAAGAACACAATATAATACTATCTATGAATTATTCTTGTGTTTCTTCTTCTAACTATAGTTATTTTCCTGTTTATCAAGATATTCCCTGGGTACAATAGTATTCATTCACCATCACCAATGGCGTCCTACCTCTAATGTTCCCCACTTACCACTGTCCACTTCCCATTCCAGAACTTTATTAGATATCCGTTGCTTCATGCCAGCGACAAGTCTGAGTGGTGGTGACGCCAGAGACCCTAGCAACTCACTATATCAAATAACCTGGCTTCTCATTAGGAATGGTGATGACTCCAGGGATGAAGAAAAATCAGGAAATAGAGCAAATAAACCGATCAAGAAAGAACCTATCCAACAGCCTGGTCACTAGGGAATAAAGGGTGAAATAGAGGCAGGCAAAAGAGATAGAATGGGGTACCTGGAGGTGCCAGCCAGAACTAAGTTCAAGAGAAAGACCATTGAGCGAGGTTACAAGGTGTTAACCTGGCTGAGATGGCCTTACTAAGCATTTGACAAGCTCCACTGCCTGGTTATAACATCCTGGAAGTGGTATTGATTTAGCCTTTCTATACTAAAAGATTTGTTTCAGAGCATAACAGATCTGCAATAGCCATCCTACCCCAAATATAAGAAAAGAAACCACAGTAGAGTGGAAAGGGAGTTCAGAGATGACAGTGATTCACTGATGATTTAAAAAGAAAATAAGTGGCATGATTGTTAGTTTGGTTACTGATCTGTAACCAATTAAATTCTAGCTTATCCCCAGATCAGGAGCCAGAAGCTGCCTCTGCAGAATTAGTAGACTTAACCCGAGAGCTGATGGACAGTTCCAGCTTTCCAGCAATTCTTTCTTAAATGGAATTCCTTGCTCACAGCCTCTCCCTTTCCATCATCTCTTATTTAACACTCACCTTAAAGATCTTTAAAATTTTAGTTTGAAATAATATTCCTCCCACACTCCTGAGCAAGAGTTATATCTTTTAAAAGTTCTAAAATGTCTTAAATAATGTAAAAAGATTTAAAACTGAATTGTCCATTTTGTCATCTTTAAGTAAAATGTGTGTATTCTCTCCATAGAAGAAATTTAAATATGCAGAAGGAGTGAACCTACGTGTCTCTCATCTAGATTTTTAGTGTCACATTTGCTGATAATTTAGATTGGTCTATATCTGTGGTGAAAGTAGAAATAAAATCTGTGTAGTCAATTCTCCATGGTTAAAAATATCATTTTAAAAATATTCTTCCAAATTTTAAAATTTGTTTGACTTGTGGTCAGATCTCTTCTGCTTCAAACTGGAATTAAACCAATCTTGATTTTCTATAATAGAGTTCTGAAAACAAGAGACTTACATAAGTATCCTCATACTAACATTTATGTATTTTAATTGTTCTGTTCTTTTCCCCCACTTTTCTTGTTCTTCTCTACTCAAAGTACTAAATACTTGTTGACCTTCAGAGTTAACGCTAAAGATAGAGCTTGGATGAAAGCTATGTGTTGAAGTTTATACAGAGAGAAATAGTAGCTTCAGGGAAAGTGAGTAAACCGTTTAAGAATCTGCCCTGGCTGGTTTGGCTCAGGGGATAGAGTGTCAGCCTGCGGACTGAATGGTCCCGGGTTCAATTTCAGTCAAAGGCATTTTGCCTAGGTTGCGGGCTCAATCCCCAGTAGGGGGTATGCAGGAGGCAGCCGATCAATGATTCCCTCTCATCATTGATGTTTCTATCTCTCTCTTCCTCTCCTTTTCTCTCTGAAATCAATAAAGATATAAAAAATAAAATAAGAGTCTGGATGAAGAAGGCACAGAAAAGGACAGAGGTGTAGTTGGCCAGGTCAGAGCTAGAGAAACATTTAATGTATGGAGAGAGACAAAAGGCACATGGCTAGTTCAGGGAGATACACTTGGGGGTAGACAGGCATATAGAGCAGGCTCAACACAACAAGGTAAGGATGTTGGCTGGGGATAGAAGAGATATTCTGGGTGAGAGAAGAGAGACTCAGGATGTAGAGTAAGTACATAAACATAAACACAGTTCAGGCCAAGGGAGAAGAGAAGAGAAAGAAAAGTGAATGATTGAGGGAGACTAAAATTCAGAGAGCCAATTTACACCAGAGTAAGCAGAGTCAGATTATAGTGAGTGCAGTGACACAGCCTTTTAGAAGACATCGGAATAGGTAGAAGATGGTAAGAGAATGACTAGGGCCAGATAAGGATTAAATTGAGACAAACATAGTAAATAGTTCAAAAAGTACCATGATGAATGCAGAAAGAAAAGAGAAAGAAACCAGTTATTTGCAGTGTAGCATAAGACTTTAAAATGTAGCAAGACAAATAGATGGATTGGGTTTAGAGAGACACCTACTAAGCCTAGACTCAGAGGGCAACAGCAAATAACTGGTACAAAGACTAGGGGAAAGAACAGTTTTTAAGCAGCTCTAGGTATAGCTAGAGGTAATAGCTGGCAGACGTGGATTAAATGACTGGGTCAGCTTGGATTGCACAACTGGAGAGAGTGCTTTTTTTTTTATTGATTAAGGTATTATGTATGTTTCCAAATCTCCCCCATTCCCCTCACCCCACCCCACTCCCGTACATGCCCTCACCCTCCTGCTGTCTCTGTCCATTGGTTATGCTTATATGCATGCATACAAGTCTTTTGGTTGATCTCTCAGTGGCAGTGGGCCTTTAGGTACCCAGAAGGAGAACAGGAAGGATGGGATAGCCCAAGATTCCTCCAGAGTATGGCCAGAAGCACAGTGTTCTGAGGGAGAGAAATAAAGTAGGATCCAAGAGAAGGAAAAATAGTGAATGGTTTGTGAGAGAGAGAAGTGTTAGAAGACATAAAGACAAGTGAAGAAGTATTGCTTAGGCTCAAATTGAGACAGGACTCCACACAAAACAACAGTCCAGGTTCCATGGAAACATTTAGAGAAAAATGGAAGAGAAGTAAAGGAAAAACGTGGGGCCAAAAGAGTCAGTCAGAGGTGGAGAAAGATACATGAAAGACATACTAGTACCTGGGAGAGATTTTTGCCAATTAGTGTCTTTAAGTGGATTATGTCATCATAACATTCTCCCCTTTTCCTAAGTAGACTCATTGCAACATCTTCAACTATAAAACCTCAGTCATTCATATACCCCAGATTAACCTAGAGTGTGAAGAACTTAAATGTAAATATGATGTTCTAATAACTGAGGCATTTTTCACCCTGAGATATAAACGAGGTTTCTCAGCATTGTTAAAGCCTATATACATGATTGCTAGACAGGCAGCTGCCCTCCTTTTCCAACACCAAGATTTGAATATTTTTCTTCCTGTCCTCTAATCTTTTCATTCAGCAAAGACCGTGCAGCAACTACGACTGGAGCTGCTGGCCTGTCAAGTGGGCACCACCGGGAAGCATGGGCTACCAAAGGCCCCTCCTATGAGGACTTATATACTCAGAATGTTGTCATTAACATGGATGACCAAGAAGATCTTCATCGAGCCTCACTGGAGGGGAAATCTGCCAAAGAGAGACCCATTTGGTTGAGAGAGAGCACTGTCCAAGGAGCATTTGGTTCTGAAGAGATGAAGGAAGGTAAGAGAAGTCATTAAAATGAGTATGTCTTGGGTTCAGTTGAAAATGAGTTTGACTTAGTGCGAAATTGCCTGGGCAATTCTTAGTTTTATTGGTAATCCACTATATCTGTGTTCCAAAATAATTGCATTGTAGCAGGAAGTAAGAAATTGAGCAATAAGCATTAAAACCAAATAATATACTTGCATTTTCCTTCAACTTAGTTGAAGAAACAAATAGACAGCTTTTAAGTCTATCTATCTACCTATTTATCATCTATATTTTTAATTGAGGTAAAATTGGAATATAGCATATGCTTCAGGTGTACAACATTATAATTCTATGTCTGCACTACAAAGTGATCATCACCAAAGTCTAGTTACCATTCTTCACCATACAATTGAACCTCCTTTACCCATTTTGCCCACCCCCTAACCTCCTTCCTCTCTGGTAACCACCAATCTCTGTATCTATGAGTTTTTGTTTTGTTTTATTTTGTTTTTTAAGATTTCTCATATGAATGAAATCATACATTATTTGTCTTTCTCCATCCTACTCATTTTACTTAGCATAATACCCTCATGGTCCATTCATGTTGTTACAAATGGCAAGATTTCATTCTTTTTTATGACTGAGTAGTATTCCATTATGTATATATACCAATCTATTCATGATTCAGTCTTGAAAGAATGTGTGTTTGTAGACATTTCTTCTGGATTGTTCAATTTGTTGGTATATAATTGTTTATACTAGTCTCTTATGATCCTTTGTATTTCTGTAGTATTAGTTGTAACTTTTCTGACTGATTTTGTTTATTTGTGTCTTCTCTGTTTTTTTCTGGGTTCATATAGTTAAAAGTTTGTCATTTTTTTAATCTTTTTAAAGAACCAGCTCTTGGTTTCATTGATCTTTTAAAATTTCTTTTTAGTCTTCATTTAATTATTTCCACTCTGATCTTTATTTATTATTTCCTTACTTCTGCTAACTTTCAGCTTTGTTTGTTCTTATTTTTCTAGTTCCTTAAAGTGTAAAGTTAGGTTGTTTGTTTGAGATTTTCATCTTTCTTAAGGTAGGCCTTCTTGCTATGAAATTCCCTCTTAGAACTGCTTTTGCTACGTTCTGTAAATTTTGGTGTGTTGTATTTATGTTTTCATTTCTCTCTAGGTATTTTCATTCTTTGATTTTTGTGTGATAATCCGTTGATTATTTGGTAGCATATTGTTTAAGCTCCACATTTTTGTGCTTTCTTCATTTTCTTTTTGTGATTGATTTCTAGTTTTATACCATTGTGGTTAGAGAAGATGCTTGATATGATTTCAATCTTCTTGAATTTATTAAAACTTGTTTTGTGACCTAATGTGATGATCTGGAGAATATTCCAAGTGCACTTAAGAAGAACGTATATTCTGCTACTTTTAGATAGAGTGTTCTGTATATATCTATTAAGTCCATCTGATCTAATGTGTTGTTTAAGGTCAGTGTTTCCTTATTGATTTTCTATCTGGATGATTTATCCATTGAGGTAAGTGAGGTGTTAAAATCTCCTATTATTATTGTACTAGGGGCCCGATGCATGAAATTCGTGCAAGAGTAGGCCTTCTTTCCCCCAGCTGCTGGCACCAGCTTCCCTCTGGCACCTGGGACCCAGGCTTCCCTCACAGCCCCAGCTTCATCAGGAAGGTCATCCAGAAGGACATCTGGTCTAATTAGCATATTACACTTTTTTATTATTGTACTAGAGGCCCAGTGCATGAAAATTCATGCGGGGGGCAGGGGGAGGTCCCTCAGCCTGGCCTGCTGCCCCCTCTCACAAGCCACAGTCTGGCATCCCTCTGCAGGAGACGACCAGGCCAATCAGGGGAAGGCACTGCCCCCATCACCCTGCCACTACTACTGCCTCTGGCCTCCCTCTGCAGGAGGGACCAGGCCAATCAGGGGAAGGCACCACCCCCATCACCCCACTGCTGCTGCCACTGCCAGCCGCCGTGGCTGCCAGCCCTCCTTGGCCCTCGCAGCTGCCGTGGCTTTGTCCAGAAGGACGTCCAGAAGTCCGGTCTATCTGATCTAATTAGCATATTACCCTTTTATTAGTATAGATTGCTGTTAATTTCACCCTTTTAGTCTTTTAATATTTGTTTCATATATTTTGTTGCTCATGTGCTGGGTGCATATACATTTATAAATGGTATATCTTTTTGCTGGAATGGCCTCTTTATCATTATGTAGTGCCCTTCTTCTTCTTCTTTTTTCTTTTTTTTTTCAATCCTCACCCGAGTATATTTTTTCATTGATTTTTAGAGAGAGTGGAAGGGAGAGGGAAAGACAGAGAGAGAAATATCAATGTGAGAGAAACATACCAATTGGTTGCCTCCTACATGTGCCCTGACCAGGGCCCTGGCTGGGGAGGAGCCTGCAACTGAGGTACATGCCCTGGACTGGCATTGAACCGAGGAAACCTTCGGTCCACAAGCCAATGCTCTATCCACTGAGCCAAACTGGCTAGGGCCTCTTCTTTGTCTTTTATTATAGTCTTTGTTTTAAAGTTTATTTTTCTGAAATGAGTGTGCTACCTCAGCTTCTTTTCCTTTCTATTTCCATAGAATATCTTTTTTAAAAATTTCTTTATTTAATAAACATTTTATAAGAGTTTATTTGAGTCAAATGGAGGATATGCCTGGAAGCAAATCTCAACAGATAGTAATATACTTCCTGCATGGAATATCTTTCATCATCCCTTTACTTTCAATCTCTGTATGTACTTACTTCTGAATTGCCATGGTGCAGGTCAGGGCTATCACCTGGCCTGGCTAAAGCATGCATCAGCTTCAGGCTGAGGGTAGGTGGGGCTCTCAGCAAGGCATGCCCACCTGTGTTAACAGATTAAAAGGGGAGTTCCAAATGGTGCCCACCATTGTCTCCATTCCCAGCCCGCGGGCCGTAGTTTGCCCACGGCTGGGCTAGGGCCTCTTCTTTGTCTTTTATTATAGTCATGTATGGTTTAGGTACTCTTCAAACTGGTGGTTTTGCACTGTGCCCAGGGCAAGTGAGTTTGCACACAAGTCCTTTAAGTTCAGGTCCTCTGTTTTCTACAGTTCTATGCATTTCCTGGACATACTCCCCATTGGTTTTCAAAGCCAGGTGTTTTGGGAGTTTGTCTCTTCTGTACAGGATCGGGATCCCTCTCAAGTGTGGATACCTATAGCTGGGGTGTGGTGTTTTTTTTCTTCTTTTTTTTTTGTAAGACCTTGTCTCTGCCTCTTGCCCATCTTGAGGCTGCTCTTTTATCTTTCATTGTAGAGGCTTTGTTCATCCAATTTTCAGATCTTTGTCAGAAGAAATTATTCTCTACTAGAGGCCCGGTGCACAGATTCATGCACCAGTGGGGTCCCTTGGCCTGGCCTGCGGGGATTGAGCTGAAATGGCTATCCGACATCCCCCAAGGGTCCCGGATTGTGAGGAGGCGCGGGCCACCGAGGGACCCCACCGGTGCATGATTGGGGCTGGGGAGGGACCGTGGGAAGGTCCTGCCCATCTTGCCCAGTCCAGATTGGAGTGATCAGGGCCGATCAGGCTGTCTTGCCCAGTCTCGATCAGGGCCAATTGGGCTGGCTGGCCAGGGAGGGACCACGGGAGGTTGGCCAGCTGGGGAGGGACTGCGGGAGGGCTCCAGGGCATGTCCGACCCATCTCACCCAGTCCTGATCAGCCGGACCCCAGCAGCAAGCTAACCTACTGGTTGGAGCATCTACCTCCTGGTGGTCAGTGCATGTCATAGCGACTGGTCGAACAGCCAAACGAATGATCGGACGCTTAGCATATTAGGCTTTATTATATAAGGTATAGCTGTAGATTTGTTGCGTCCATGGGAAGAGGTATGATCAGGATTTTCTTATACTGGCATCATGAACTGCCCCTTAATCTCCATTTATAGATTTAAGAAAGAACCATCTCTTTCTCTTAATTTCTTGGAAAAGTGCTCTTGTGTTCAAGGTGGCCAAATTCATCTCTTCTTTTTTGTTGCCCTAATTCTTTTTAATCCTCACCCAAAGGTATTTTTTATGGAGGGAGGGAGGGAAGGAGGGAGGGAGGGAGGGAGGGAGGGAGGGAGGGAGGGAGGGAGGGAGGGAAGGGAGGGAGGGAGGGAGGGAGGGAGAAAAAAACATCTATGTGAGATAGAAACATCAATGGGTTGCCTCCGGTATGGACCCTGACTGGGGATTGAACCTGCAACCTACATATATGCCCTGACCTGGAACCCGTCACCTTTTAGTGTACAGGACAACACTCCAACCAACTGAGCCACCTGGCCAGGGCTGTTGTCCTAATTTATATGCACTATTATTTCTCTGAATTTGGAGCGATAACTATACACTAGTCCAAGCTTTTTTTTTTCTTGTCTCATAAACACCAAGGAGTTTGTGCCACATGAAATATATAGAAAGATACCACCTGAGTGAAGGACTAAGGATATTCAACAACCATGAAGACTGGTGCAACTTCATACTAGAATATTTTAGAAATCTCTGTGAGCACTAAAGAATTGCATAATAATCATAACTTTGAGAACTGCAAGCTTTTGCTTTGTAAATTTTAGTCTCAAGTTACTGGATTTTGGGGGATGATGATTTAGGAGTACATAGAAAATAGAAGGTTAAGACTGGACAAAGATTACTCAGAAAGTGGGAAGCAGAGATGAAAGGGAGTGTGTACCTCTGGTTGGATTTCATCAGCATTCAAATCTGCATGCCTCTGTGTATCTTATTAACATGGCATCTGAGTATGGTTCTTTAATAGTAAAGAATTATCAGTAATTGAAAACCACTTGTTTTTTGGCATTTCTCCTAACCTTTTTTCCCTTTATATTTAGCATTTCTTTACTGTGTATGCTAAGAATTGTAAAAGTAGTGTGGAATTAGGTAGTGATGATAAAAGCAGGTGATACCTCTAGTGTGATTCTCTTTGGTATCTTCATTCCAGTCAGAAGAAAAAAAGTTAGTTTTTGGCAACCATACTTCACTCTCCCTCCTCCTGATCAGCTTGGCTATGATGTTTATTTTGATTCAAGTTGTTGTAGATTATATAGTAATTAGGCTGTCAGCTATTTAATAGGCTTGTTTTCCCCAACTTGGCTTCTTGCCTATTCTTGAAGCAACCAAATCTTATTTTCTTTGAACTTAGAAACACAACTGAATAAAACTATTGTTAACCAATATTATATACAATTAGACTCATAAGCTTAACATTCAATGTTTATAATTCCTAGAATAATCGAATTTGAATCATAAGGACCTTAAATAAGTCATTTAGTGTACTAGATTTGTCATGTCTAAATTTGTTTTTGTTAAGTTTTATGACAGTAAAATAGACTCTATCCAGTGCATGTATGAATTGAGTCTTATTTGTCTTACCCTTAATTTGCCTCAGACTTCATTTTAACATCTTTCAGAATTTCATAGACTTCAATCATGTCCTTATTACTCTACAGAAAGTTCTAACTCCTTTCCTTGTTGTTTTTTGTTGTTGTTAATCCTCTCCTAAGGATATTTTTTTCCATTGATTTTTAGAGAGAGTGGAAGGGAGAGGGGAGGGGGGGAGAAAGAGGAGAGAGAGAAACATCTATTGATTGCCTCCTGCCTGTTCCCCAACGAGGGCTGCAATCAAACTGTAACCCAGGTACATGCCCTTGACTAGGAATTGAACCTGCGACTCTTCACTGTGGGCGCAACACTCTAACCACTTAGCCACACTGGGTAGGGTGCTAAAAGTTTTCATTTCTTTTGATTCTACTTTCCTTACAAATAGTTCTGGTCCCCCAGCCCCTCCACCTACAGTTTTTATTTTATTTTAATTGCCTCTTTTTGGACAATCTCCAGTCAATGTACTCGGCTTGAGACCTACTGACCAGAAGAATACCATACATGTTGTTCATGCATGGGTTCATCATTAATGATTTTGAGTTTTATTTCCAATGTCCTTCAGGTTGTTACCTGATACTTTGTTTGTTGCTTTGGCTCTGGAAGCATATTAAAAATAGCAACCTTAGCCAAACTGGCATGGCTCAGCAGTTGAGCGTCCACCTAAGTACCAGGAGGTCCCATTTCGATTCCAGTGTGTGGTGTGTAGGAGGTAGCTGATCAACGATTCTCTCTCATCATTGATGTTTCTTCTCTCTCTCTCTCCCTTTCTTTCTGAATGTTTCTATCTCTCTCTCTCCCTTTCTTTCTGAAATTAATTTAAAATATATATATATATATTTTTTGTATCTGATAGCTTGGACCACACCTTTCGGCATATTTTAGATTACTTTTCTAGATTACATTTGCCAGTGTAGAACTGGATCTGCCACTTTTCTGCCCATTTATACAACTTTCAGCTCTTCCTATATATTTTCTGCTATCAGCTTGGCCCTTAAGTAGCCAGAATTGCTTTAGAAATTTAGTAATGTTTCTAAATATTGCTCAAATATTAACATCATTAGTGAAGTTGACAATTTCTGATTATAAATTTTTTTTAAATTTATAACTCTCTTAAATAAGACTGTTCCTAGAACTAGTGTTTAAACTTTACAGTCCAGAGATTTGCTCATTTATCCTAATATTCTGTTTTCTTGTCTTCATCTATAATGCAGAACAATTCCTTTTGTCCCATACCTCTCAAGACCCTTGTCAGAAATCTTTTAAATATAATTTCATTTAGTTTACAAAACTAAATAGATTTTCCCCTCATTTTATATTTATTTTAAGCATTAATCAAAACACTATTTTGGAAATATGAAACTATTTGGAAAATTTTTAAAGAGGTAATGATTGCCTTAGAGCAGCGGTTCTCAACCTGTGGGTCGCTGTGGGTCGCGACCCCTTTGGTAGTCGAATGACCCTTTCACAGGGGTCGCGTAAGACCATCCTGCATATCAGATATTTACATTACGATTCATAACAGTAGCAACATTACAGTTATGAAGTAGCAATGAAAATAATTTTATGGTTGGTTCACAACATGAGGAACTGTATTTAAAGGGCCAGAAGGTTGAGAACCACTGCCTTAGAGACTCATGTGCATTTCTTGTCTTTTTTTTTCTTTTGAATTACTGCATTGACAATAAGGGCTCTAGGAGTAGGTCCATCCTTTGGATTTCAGTTCTCATTTTTTGTATCCAGGTTGTCAAAAGCTTATTTTGTCCTAAATTTTTAACTTCTCAATTCTTGTTTCCCATTCTCTTTTCTGCCCAATATATCATCTCAGGAGTTCTATACTTTTTTAAAATGTCAAGAGCTAATCCATTCCAATATGTTAATGAGAAAATGCTTTCATTTCACCGTAGCCAGAATTGACCATTTCTGAGCCTTTTTTTGATGCTGCTGTTGATTATAAATACCACTATTCTAAGGGCCAAGCCTATTCTAAGCACTTCACATATATTCACCTAACTCTGACAGTAATCCAGTGAGGTAGATACTATTATTCTTTTCCTGTTTTGTTTTTGAGAAAATTGAAGCAGAACCCTGGCTGGATAGTTTGGTTAGAGCATCATCCCATGCACCAAAGGGTCACAGGTTCGATTCCCAGTCAAGGCACATCCTCAGGTTCCAGATTTAATCCCTGGTTGATTCATGTTTCTCTCGCACATCTCTCTCTCTCTCTCTCTCTCTCTCTCTCTCTCTCTCTCTCTCTCTCTCTCTCATCAATGAAAAATATATCCTCAGGTAAGGATTAAAAAAAGAAAATTGAAGCAAAGAGAAATGAGGTAACTTGCCCCAAATCACACAGTTAAAAAATGTTAAGAGTCAGGATTTGAATAAAAAAGTCAGTTTCAAATAACACTTTTAATCCTGTTATATATTTTAAATGGCAATATGTTTGGTATTATTTTCCAAATACCGAATACAAATGTTTGTCTTAAATTTTTCATCTTCAATATATCAGACAAAATGTGTACACAAAATGATAAATAGGAAGTGTGTAGTAAGAGAATTTTTATTCATGATACTAGATTCCTTATAAAGAGTTCAAAGTGTGCTTAGTTTGCTTCAGGAAGCTAAAACTGCCATATATTCATTGAGTCATCAAATATTTATTCAGTACCTAACAAGTGATAGGCACTATTCTAGGTACATGGGATATATCACTGAATAAAAAAGATGAATATCTGTTGTGGGGGACCTACATGCTGGGAAGGAGGGTGCTAAAGACAATAGTCAGGAGTTACTTATGATGTTAGAAAATCATTGCTCTGGGAAAAGATAGAGCATTGGGAATATAGAGGTGAATTCAAAGAAGATGATGTTTGAGTAAAGACTTGAAAGATGTAAGGGAATTAGATGTCAGTGTCCCAGGTAGAGGCCAGAGGCAGTACAAAGGCTCTAAGGTAGAACTGTGTGTGGTGTGTACAGGAATACCATGGAAGCCACTCTGGCTGGAGCAGAATGAGCAAGGGAAAGGAAAAGACGTAGTAGGTGGGCAAGAGGGGTTCAAGATAATGGAGGGCCTTATACACCATTGTAAAGTATCTGGCTTTTCCTCTGAGCAAAGTGAGGAGCCATGTCTTGTCTTCCTGTTATGACAGCTGCTATTCCTGGTCTTTCATAGACATTATTTCATACTAGAGGCCCAGTGCACGGATTTGTGCACCGGTGGGGTCCGTCAGCCTGGCCTGCGCCCTCTCACAATCTGGACCCCTCGGGGGGGTGTCGGATAGCTGGTTTCGGCCCAATCCCCACAGGCCCGATCTAGACAGGAGGGAGCCCGATCCTGTGCATTGAGCATCTGTCCCCTGATGGTCAGTGCACCTCATAGCAACCGGTTGACCAGTCTTTCAGTCATTCGGTCGCTTGGGCTTTTATATATATAGATGCTCTTATCCAGAGTCCTAGAAGGTAGATGCTTTTATCGCCCCATTTTATAGAAGCAGGTACTGAAGTTTAGAGACTGAATATCCTGACCAAGGCAGCACAGTTTACATGTGAACCAGGATTCAGTTCCAGGCTATATTACTCTTAAAACCCATGTACTTAACCATCAGGCTACTTAAGTTCCAGTTTGTGAGAAACATTTTGAATATATTATGGACAGCAGCTCGAAAAGTAGAATCAGTGAAGTTTTATCGGTGTTATTTTATAATATTATTGTATATTTAAATACCATGTTTTAAAATATATATATTATTATAAAGGAATATCTTTTATATTTAAGGATATTGACTTTCTGGGTTTTTCCCCCCAGGTGGCTTAGATATAGATGCATTTCAAGATCGTGAGGAAGGCCGTGCAGGGCTGGATGATAACGAGGAGGTTATGCGAGCACTACTCATTCATGAGAAGAAGACCCCCTCTGCTACTGCTGGCTCAGTGGGGGCGGCTGCTCCTGTGACCGCTGCCAATGGCAGTGACTCGGAGAGTGAGACCAGTGAGTCAGACGATGACTCCCCACCTCGTCCAGCTGCTGTGGCTGCACATCACCGAGAGGATGACGAGGAGGACGATGAGTTTGAGGAAGTAGCAGATGACCCCATTGTTATGGTGGCTGGTCGTCCATTCTCGTACAGCGAAGTGAGCCAGCGGCCAGAGCTGGTGGCACAGATGACACCAGAGGAGAAGGAAGCGTACATAGCAATGGGACAACGCATGTTTGAGGACCTCTTTGAATGATCTGTCCCTACATTTTCCTCCTTTCTCTAAAGCTCATTTCAAAAAGAAAGTACCTACCTTTGAAGAAAAGTATTTAAGTGGCTTTCTGCCCTTCTTGATGTAAAGCGACTGTTAATCTTGCGCAAAAAAAACCACAAAAAACACTGGGAGAGAAAGATTGATTTTTATGACAGAAACTTTCCCAAAAGGTAGGTTGACTACAAGCGTTCCTTTTCCCATTACTACTACAGTATTGCCATTTTACTGTATTTTCTTATCTAATCCTTTTCCTTTCCTTTTTAAGACACATTCTTCTCCCTTGTGAAATAAATAAGGGAAGTCTTAAGGTAAATTCTTTCTGTCTGCCTGCAGAAGCCCACTATGACAGGTTACAGTAATTCACTGATCACATTTTTTAAAAATCTATTTTGAGCCAGCATTCCAAACAATTCCTGGTATTGCTGCAAACCAAAGCAGCTTGCCAACAGCAAATCATTTAATGAGGGACAAAACAATCTTAAAACTTCAATTGAGGATGATGTCAATAAGTAAGGGGAAGTTGGGAATGTGTGTGGAAGAGGGATGGATATGCCTAAATCTTATGATTAATATCTAAACCAAAATTTGTGTATTTAGAACTGACCTGACTGGAAGAGTCTATTGTTTTGCTTATTGTCTTTTGGTTTGTATGTTGGATGATAGAAAGCAGAAAGTATTTTGGTAAACCCTTATGAAGAAATTAGGAAAAAAACAAACATGAATGAAGGACCAGGAGTTCCATGTAAAGGGTTCAAAAGTGAAGAGCATTGAGAATAGTACCTTTTAGAATTGCCTGAGTTTGTGCTGATTTGGAAATCCTTTATAGAAAGGTGAGACTGGTCCCTTCCTTTTTCTCTTCTTCTACAGTGCTGTAAATTGTTTAATGAGGGCATTTCAGCAAAAATTAGCATGTAACAATTGATACTCCCCTCTTTTCCCCTCTCAACACTATTGAACATCTTCTTTGTTTCTCTTTTGATTGTTGTCAGACATGGTATTATAGAGTACACCCAGTATATTGTTGAGCATTGTAACCTCAAGGAACATAGTTTATCATTTCAGTTCTGCTGTGTAGCATGGTATTATTCCCTAAGGCAGAACTTTAAAAGTAAGGAACTTTCATACAAGGATCTATAACAATTGTATATTTTGTAATATTTCCCCTTGCATTGTAAGTTTTAAGTATTTATCATTTTTTATAGTACATGTGTGTAGTTAAGGTAGATTTTAGAGTTATCTGAGCCTTATAGGAAGTGGTGTTTCATTTACATGGTGTATGAATGACTGAATATTAACAAACTATTTTATACTGACTAAAATTTGTTCATTTCCAGCTCTGTAACATCTTGGAACATAATTAAAATGAATATTCTTCCCATTAAAAAAAGTTTCAGACTTTGTTCTCTTATTAGTTATATTTTAAATAATAGATGCACTTGTGTGTGGTCCAAACTTTTTCTGGCAATAGTTGACTTAAGAGTGACTTTTAGCCCTGACTGGTGTGGCTCAGTTGATTGGAGCATCATCCCATACCCAGGAAGGTGGTGGGTTTGACGTTTCTCTCTCACATTAATGTTTCTCTCTCTCTCTTTCTTTTTCTCTATCTCTGTCTCTCCCTTTTTCTCTCCCTCCCTTCCTCTTTTCCTTCTGCCCTCCCTTTCCCTTCCTCTCTAAATCAATGCGGAAAAAAAAGAATGACTTTCATAATAAAGTTTCTATGAATGTTTCCCTTTGGAGGAAAAAAACGCACTACTCTTATGTATGTACCTTGTACACATGGACTATTCAACTTTTAAATATCTTTTTTAACTTTTATAGTTGTAGAATGAAGTTCACGTAAATAAAATAGTAATCAGATACAAAGTTTTAAAAACAGTTGTAGGTTAATTGTCATCTTTTTATTTCTCAAATAAATGTATTCACTAATTTTTCTTGAATCTGACTTGCATGTTCTTCCTAAAACTACTATTCTTTTTCTTTCCCATTATCTACCAACTTCTTAAGTAATCATACAGATTAGTTACATACTTCTTTCATCTCCCTCTTGCTCTAGGTTTTGCCCTATTCCTACATAGAAACAGCTTTCCCCAGTCCTAATTGTTCAACCTAACAGCCCTTTATTCCTCTGTTTTTTTGGCTGCTTTTCATTATTTGATGCCATCAACTCATTCTTTCTCTTTGAAACGCTTTCATTTGATACCCTAGTCATTACACTGACTCATTACCTCATTGGCTATTCCTTCTCAATCTTTAGACTTCATTTTTTTTTCTCTGCTGCATGTTGCGGCATATCTCAAGGCCTAGTTCTTTTTTCCCTTCTTTCTCTCTCTCTCTCTCTCTCTCTCCCTCTCTCTCTCTCTCTCTCTCTCTCTCTCTCTGAAATTTATGTAATGTGAAAATGTCAAAAGTGAAGACAAGCCCTGGCTAGGTAGCTCAGTTGTTTGGAACATCATCCCGTGCACAAAAGGTTGCAGGTTCAATCCCCAGTTGGGGTGCATACAGGAGGCAAGGTGAAGAATAAGTATATTCATTACAGCAGTGTATGAAATAGAATAGGTACATAGGTATACCAAATAGGCATTAATCATGAATTAAATTATTTTTCCACGAACCATTTAGCCATTAAAAAGAATGTATTGATAGGAAAAGATATCCATAATGTGTAATTATAGAAGGATTCTGTTTTTCTGTGTGTGTGTGTGTGTGTGTGTGTGTGTGTGTGTAAAGAAAAAAGTAGCTAATATATGTGTTGAGACACTAACTTCTTTACATACGTTGACTCATTTAATCTTTATAACCTGTGAGGTAGATATAGGTATACAAAGATGTATATAATTAGAGTTGAGAATTACAGTGGTCTTAAGTTATAATGGAAAAGATATTTTCATTTTGAAAAAAGAATCAAATAGACATTTTAAAAAGTTCATGTAGAAGGTACTTGGTAGAATTAAAGAAATAGAGTGACAGTGCTCATTTCAGCAGCACATATACTAAAATTGGAACAATACAGAGAAGATTAGCATGGCCCCTGCACAAGGATGACACGCAAATTCGTGAAGCGTTTCATATAAAAAAAAAAAAAAAGAAAGAAAGAAGAGTGACAAAAGTAAGCTTTTTATATTATTGCTAGGATTTTTAGGTGTTCCTTTTATAAATTCTGGATTTATCATTTCCTTATATAAACATCTCTGAATTTATACTCAAAATTAATAGGGAAATATAGCTTAATATATAAAATTTTGTACACTACCCCACATTTCAATAACATATCTTGTGACTCAAGGGAGTTTGATATTACTTTATCCAACAGGTTTATGGGTGTTGAGTGACACAATAATCTGGTGAGAAAAGCCAGTCAGTGACAGGATGTCCAAAAATGGGAGCCCTCTCAATTAGCAGCTCTCAGAAGGGCAGACTCACGCACAAGGTTGGTCGATACATGTGGTCACAGTGTTGCTGACCTCGGGATATCTGGAGTTGTTACCACCCACAGCCTATAAGAATGGCCGGCAACTCCTCTCTGAGCGAGATTGGCTGTATTAGTATAACTCAAGTGTCAGCTACCCACGTGTCCCACTGTCCTTTAAGATTTAAATAGAACAGTTTTATCCTAACACCATGGGATACTTCTTCGGTATCATTTCTTTTGGGGAATGTGGGGAAGGGCTTGGTGGTTTATATTCTCCTGCTCTGCCTCCCTGCTTCCCTGGCTTCTCCAGCTCTCCTCTGCACCACCTGTACTGACTCCCCGAGTGTCCTCAATGCAAGTCTGTGTAACAGATCCTCACTGAGGTTCTTATAGTAATAGGCAGGGGACAGGCAATGAAAGGGTTTTTTGTCTCAGCATTGCATAGTCCAGGCATATAAGGGAGGATCATATACATTCTTGTTCTTAAAATGAGTCTCTTGCCATTCTCACAGAGTTCACCTCAAGTACAATCCTGACTTTAAATCTTGCTAAAATTTCGGCTCATTTTTTCCTTCTCTTCAATTACCCCTTTCTTTCCAAAGGCCTTGGAATGTTATAAATGTACTAGAGGCCCGGTGCACAAAAATTTGTGCACTGGCGGGGGGCGGGGGGTATCCCTCAGCCCCACTTGTGCCCTCTCACAGTCTGACAGTCTGGGACCCCTCGGGAGATAACGACCTGCTGGCTTAGGCCCGCTCCCGGGTAGCAGAGGGCAGGCCCAATGCCCTGCAGCCCCTGGTCGGGCTCAGAGCAGGGCCGATTGGGGAGTTGGGGCGCCACCCCATCATGCACAGAGCAGGGCGGATCAGGAGGTTGTGATGCCACCCTCAGTCACGCTCAGGGTAGGGCTGATTGGGGGGTTGGGGTGCTTCCCTCAGTCACGCTCAGGGTAGGGCTGATTGGGGGGTTGGGGCGCCTCCCCCGGTCACACTCAAGGCAGGGTCGATGGGGAGGTTGCGCTGCCACCCCCTGTCACGCACAGAGCAGGGCGGATCAGGGGGTTGTGGCGCCACCCCTGTCACATACAGAGCCGGCCGATCAGGGAGTTGGGGTGCTGCCCCCTGTCACGCACAGAGCAGGGCCGATCAGGGGGTTGGGGAGCTCCCCCCTGTCATGCACAAAGTAGGGCCGATAGGGGAGTTGGGGCACCGCCCCCTGTCACCCACAGAGCAGGGCAGATCAGGGGGTTGGGGCACCGCCCCCTGTCACCCACAGAGCAGGGCCGATTAGGGGGTTGGGGCACTCCCCCCATCACACTCAGGGCAGGGCCAATGGGGAGGTTGCGGCTCCACCCCGTCACACACAGAGCAGGGCCCATGGCGGGGTTGGGGCGCCGCACCCTGTCACCCACAGAGCAGGGCCGATCAGGGGGTTGGGGCACTCCCCCCCTGTTACACTCAGGGCAGGGCCGATGGGGAGGTTGCGGCTCCACCCCGTCACACACAGAGCAGGGCCCATGGCGGGGTTGGAGCGCCGCACCCTGTCACACACAGAGCAGGGCCGATCAGGGGGTTGGGGCGCCTTCCCCTGTCACACACAGAGCCGCAGGGCGATCAGGGGGTTTGGGTGCTGCCCCCTGTCACGCTGCTCCAGGGGCCAGGAGGCCTCGCGGTTACCGCTGATCCCAGTGCTGGGAGGCCTTGCTGCTCCGCTGATCCTGGTGCTGGGAGGTCTTGCTTCTCCGTTTGACACCAGGGCAGTGAGGCCTCGCTGCTCCGCTGATCCCGGTGCCAGGAGGCCTTGCGGCTCCGCTGATCCCGGGTTCCGGAGGCCTCGCTGCTCCGCTAATCCTGGTGCTGGGAGGCCTCGCTGCTCCGCTGATCCTGGTGCTGGGAGGCCTCGCGGCTCCGCTGATCCTGGGTTCGGGAGGCCTCTCGGCTCCGCTGATCCCGGTGCTGGGAGGCATATTACCCTTTTACTATATAGGATAGAAGCCTGGTGCACGGGTGGGGGCCGGCTGGTTTGCCCTGAAGGGTGTCCCGGATCAGGGTGGGGGTCCCGCTTGGGTGCCTGGCCAGCCTGAGTGAGGGGATGATGGCTGTTTGCAGCTGGTCACACCCCCTTCAGGGTGGGGGTCCCCACTGGGGTGCCTAGCCAGCCTGGATGAGGGGATGATGGCTGTTTGCAGCTGGTCACACCCCCTTCAGGGTGGAGGTCCCCACTGGGGTGCCTGGCCAGTCTGGGTGAGGGGCTGAGGGCCGTTTTCAGGCTGGCGGGTGACTGAAGCTCCAAACCTCTCCTTTTTTTCTTCTTTTTTTTATTCTGGGATTTATTTACCTTCTATGGCTGTCACTGGAGCTGAGAGCCGGCTTTAGCTCTGAGGCTCAGCTCCAGCTCTGAGACCTCGGCTGCTGAAAGCAGGTTTCTGGGCTTTGTTTACCTTCTGTATTTGAAACTTTGTTGCGACTCCAGCTCTGAGATCCCGGCTGACTGAAAGCAGGTTTCTGGGTTTTGTTTAGCTTCTATATTTGCAACATAGTTGCTTAGAGTGCAAGCTCAGAGGTGGGCGGCGGCAGGCGGGGAACCTTGGCTTCCTCCTTCACTGGAGCAAGCAAGCCTCCTGTTCGCTTCAGTTGCCTGACTGCCGGCCGCCATCTTGGTTGGCAGTTAATTTGCATATCTCACTGATTAGCCGATGGGAAGGGTAGCGAAGTTATGGTTAATTACCATGTTTGTCTATTATTAGATAGGATTAGAGGAAATAACTTTGTTCTTCATTTTATTCCTATTCCAAACAGTGCTGTGAATGATCCTATCACATCCAAAGTGGCCTATCAGGATGTTTGCCTAACCAAGGAGCTATCTCCCCACCTCTAGGAGTCAGCATGGAAGGTTAACTGTGGCTTTTAAAGGAACTTTTTTCTCTTCCCACTACACTAAAATATATTACTTATATAATATGTAAGTAAGGTCATGTA